ATGACGATCACAACAAACCGATCGCGCGCGCGAAATACTGTAATTTGTCTTGCACATACTCGAACTCAATTCGAAAAATTCGCAAGCAACTTGTCGCGTTTGCGCATGCGTCTACGAAAGTACGGTCGCGCGGAGCATCATGTAACCCGTTTATGCTTGCGTCATATAATATTTCATTATTTTATCATTCTAACAATGATAATAATATTTTTTTCTTTTATTTTATATGTATGTTATTTTATTTTTATGTATGTCTTGTTTGAACATCTCTAAAATGTATGTGTCGCATTTCTTTCAAAGTTTATAGAACCGCTCACACATGTAAAAAAAGAGAGAGAGACAAACCTTTAGTCGCAAAATATATTTCTTCGTTAATGCAGATACTGTACTCGTCGAAAGCGCAATGATCCCCAAATTCTTTCAGAAGATCTGAAAGATAATGACAGATAATTGTTCTAATTAGTCACAGTAATGAAAAGAGTTTGGTTAGGTTATCGGCTTGAACAGGTTGAGAAGCTTCAAACATATACATCTCTTTCAATTATGGTATGAACGAGACGTAATAGTTACCTGTTACGTTTCACGATGTCTCTGAATGTTTACGATGACCAATCGACAAACGGATCGCGCACGCGAAATACCGTGACTTTCCTCGCACGTACTCGATTCGTAAAGATCGCGAGCGAACTGACGCTTTTGCACACGAGCCTACGAAAGTACGGTCGCGCGGAACGTCATCTATACGCATTCTCGTTTACACCCCTACAATACATTTGTCCTATTTTCGAAGGCATTCGCGTTTTCAAAGAGTAGAGCTGTTGAGCACATATGTAAGAACGTTGTTCGCACGTATGAAAAAAAGAGATTACGTACACGAAATACCGTAATTTGTCTCGCATGTACTCTAATTCGATTCGTAAAAATCGCCAGCGAATCGTCGCGTTTGCGCACGAGCCACGAATGCGCGGTGGCGCGCAGCGTCATTGTATATTGCTTGCTTGGACATCCTTACAATTTGTACGGCATATTCTTTTTTTGCAGATTCTGAGAGTTCTACGGTAAGAACGCTGACATACGGAAAACGGGAGACGAACGTCGAGACGCGAAATATATTCCTTCGTGGACGCAGATACGAGCGAGCGTAAGTGAGAAATTATCGACGGAACGAACGATCGACGGAAGATCACGCGATTTTCGGAACGGCGACGCAAGTGGGCGTGGCTTACGCGACGACCGTTACAGTCGCAGGCGCGAAGGCGAACACGACGGCGTGCCAAATCGCGCGTATTTTTTCCGGGATGATTGGAATATGTTCGAGACGGATTACGGCACCCCGTGTACGCGGTCGAGTTTGCCAAGATTGTCGCGAGTAGTCAGAAACATCCTGAAGTGTGAGAGGTAATCCCTGGGAGAATATACGACGCGAAAATCATGAGGAGGTTTTAGGGCTCGACGGTGAGAATGCTGCCGGTGCATGCAAAATAGCAATAGATAACATCGAGACACGAAATATCTTCCCTCCTTAACGTAAATACGAGCGAACGTAAGCTAAACGTTAACAGACAATTGGCGTGAGTACGCGTGATCTTCAGGGTATCAACACGATCGAATGTAAACTGGTGCGCCGAACGCGCCATTAAAATCGTAAACACGACGACGAACATGTTGCAACATGTCGCGAGCGATCTTTTGTGGAAAAAAGTTAGAATACATGCGGATGAATTTCGCGTACATGATCGTTCTGCTGACGTCGTCGTGAGAAGTCAGGAACACCCTGAAGTGTGAAAGGTAACTATCATGCTTCCTTTGTATCAGAATTGAGAGATGCATGTCTAGTCTAGAATAGTCTAGTCTAGAATCTTTCGATCCGTTCGAAGCGGCAACCTAACCTAACCCGGTCTACCGCTGTAACTAATTAGCAATTATCTCTTACTCTAGGTTTTCTATCAGTGTTTGAGACCCTTCACGGCGGTTACAAAAGCAATTTCGGCGGGTTCGGTACTGGTGGATTCATCAGCCAAGCAGGGTTAAGCGGACTGTAACTGTAAGTTTCTTTAAAAATAAATGAACACAGGTTCTTTTTGTAATTTTTCATAATCGAAAATTGTGGCAAAGCCGTACGGGTAATTCGAATTGCGATCGTAAGAGATCAATCCATTCGAATCGCGCAGTTGTTTGTTACATCGAATTCCAAATTTAACTAATGAAGTTAATCTTTTCTCTTTCGTTTATATGGTATACTTAGCTTATAATAGTAAGTATAACATACGTTCAAGTAGCGGAGACTCGTGATATAATTTTTCGCATTCTTACCGTGTAGAAATAATATTAATAATAGAAGAATGAGTGATTATCACTTTTTATTAATTTTTAAAGAGAAATATGAACTCTCTCGAGACATCATATATTCAATATTTCGGCATCTATTCATATTATTATACTATTATTATTACTAATTAGGAAATTTACTTTTCGTTACAGATCTAATGGAACTTATGACCACATTATAGATGCGGTTGCTGAGGATGCTGTACCGGAGGATCCGGTTCGGGCCGAGCAGGGTCGGCTCGAAGGTAAGATTTTCCGCAATCTCATATTGAATTTGTTGCGATCAAAAATTGGTATATAGTCATCAAAATATTTAGAAATTATTGAATTACGATAATTACAATAAATTTATATGCTCATACGCACATTTCTCTTAATAAACCGTCAAGTCTTGATAATTAATCAATGAAATTGTATTTTTTTTCAGATTTGTAGCAGAATGTGGTCAACTCTGAATTTTTCGCATTTTGGTGAGTGAAAAAATAATGGGTACGAAAAGTTGAAGTTGGTGGGTAAAATATTTTGAAGAAAAGAAAAAAAAATATTTTAGGTAATAGGTTAATAAAATCTCATGAAAATCAATGCGTTTTAAAATAGTTTGTAGATTTTTTTGTGAGTTTATATGTTTGTGTCGTCCATCAATGAGATAAACTGCTCGTAATAATTAGGAAATTATTTTCTTAAATACTCATATTACATAGAGAGTGTAAACACTGTGTTTGAAAATACTGAATATATATTTTTCTGTCAAATAATATTTATTATTAATCTCTCTTTTTAGAAATTATTTGTACTTGTGCTTTAATTCTAATTATTTATGATTGAGTATGTAGAATTTTTTAATAGAACTGTTCATTTAATGTAATCTCTTGATTATTTTGATCAGTACAAAATACGTATACCAGAATTGCGCCATCCCGCATAACCGCACCAATTATTGTGCGCGGAATTATTCGACTACGATAAATGAAGTCATACAATTTAGCAATTTAATTTTGGAGCTGCGCCACTCGTTAATTATTCGCGGGTTTTAACGACTCGGTTCATTTCGGCCCCGATAATGATTAGGCATTTGTATCCCATTTTAAGGAAACGCATTGCCAGGTTAAGACAGTATCGATGCGCTTAATCGTCATAGTTAAAGGGGGTCATTTCTTTTCGTAGACGAGGGTATAGCGGAAGTCGAGTCGAAAGTGACTGTCGTCGATTATTCGTCATGTCAGTCCTTCCACTCTGTCGTGGCTTGTACGTTAATGTTACCTATTACTTACCGGGCGTCCTTTCTGACAGCGGCGCGTTCGATGTTCCTTGGATATCTTCGATTTCAACCGTCGAAGGTTTTGACGACGGAAAATATATTTGACACACGATTATATAATTGGTGAGAAGAATTTCGGTCTCCTCGAACCTCGAGATGTCATCAATATTATTTTAGGCAATCTTTTTGCGTATACTGTAAAACATTAGTGTATGTTGAATACGGTTATAACGTTTATCCACTTGAAATTAACTTAGCATTCGTAAAAAGCGTCGAGAAAAATAGATCCTCGTTCCATACAATTTTATTGTGCTCTCTTTATAAACACAAATAAACAATAAATTCAATTTTTCCCGTGAGTAATATAATATAAGAGACGCATAGGGGACTGCACAGGACTGTTAGAACGAAGTTTCGTGTGAACAGCGATAGCCGGGGTTAAATGAAGTATGATATGCGTTAACTGACACCACTCACGGTCGGCGTAACGCAAACACACGCAACACGTTTACGGTATAACGTAGGCGTGGCTCGCTCGCTTGATATCAATGATGGCCACCTTTCGACTGTAAATCAATCGATATCTCGCCAACAGGAGGGGCTTTTCGTAGGGTTCGCGCGATGCCTGAAACGGGGGTGGAAGCATGCGCCAAATGCTGAATGCGAATCGACCCGCCCCGCTTCTTTTATCCCTATATAGATCATCCCAACCATCTTCCTCTCCTTCCTTTACACCGTGCGATAAAATAGTCGGACGGTTGGAAATAACCACGGTCTCTCTCTCGTTGATATTTCGCGTTATCTCACGGATCATTTATGTGAAATGAAAAATATGAGATATGTGACGATGTAAAATCTAAGTAATATAATTACACATGATGTAAAGAATTGTTTAGATAATTTATGATGATTACAGTTGTAAATTTTAATTGCTACATAAATTCTCTCACGTTGGTATAAATTTTAATAGGCAGGGAGGGAAGTGGGACTTATCTCGAGATCAACAGTCACATTCATCATGACGACGTCTTCGCGTAGAAAATTAACAAGTGTTTCAGTTACGCGATCGCATTCAGATAAATTCCGAAAAGCCCGACACTTGCAGAGTAGAATTATTCAGGCGTAATGCGTTTCTCGCTTCGGCGGCACAGCGCGGCTTACTCACGTGTTCGTAGTCATCGATCGTGTCGCGTCTCGTGGATGACATGTCGCCGCGCGCAATTCATTAATCAGGTTTCCGATTCCGCGCGTATCGCCAGTGGGCGCCGATCGAAGATTATATTTTACCTGTGCGCGAACGTGTGACGGGGGGAGAGGTAGGTGCTAATAAAATAAATGCTCGATGGCTCGATATATATAATGGGAATATTTAATTCGAATTTAAATAATCTTACAAGAGTTTATCATCGGTCGTCGCGCTGATCGTTTTCGCACGCAGGTGCGCGTGCTCGCTACGCTTCTCGTATATCGTAGGTAAATAAATAACTAAGTTATATTTTTTAAACAGTCTATCGAGACGATGCCGCCGCTAAATGGTAAATTATGTACAACGTTGCTCCGCGCGGATTACATATACAATACACCTATACATAGCTTCATCTCTATCTGCTTCTCTCACCCCTTTTCTATATATATATAATGTTCTATTGCACGTCGCAATCACTCCGGTCTCTTCTCTCCTTCGTGTTACATAATATCTTACATTTTTACAATAAATTAACGAAAAAGCTAAGTTCTCCTCCCTTTCCGCCTTTATTAACTTACCCAATCTCGATTTTCAATTTCGTCACGAGAGAGAAAGAGGCGACCTTGCCTCGTTGCGTTTTCGCGCAATCTTGTTGGGGAAATTGCAAAAAATGGCACTTGTTAATCTCCCTCGTGATTATGTTAACCTCTGTATGCCTCCGTAGGCGTTGAGTTGAACATGTTTCATTTTTTTAAGTCGAACCGGATGAAATTGTGGCATTTTGGTTAGAAAGAATTTATTTCTCTTTACGATACATATTGTTGTATTATTAGTAACTTCCTTTCTTTTGGACAATATTGTCGGACAGTACTGTATTTGATATTTAATATTGCCGAGAATTTCGTTATTTTACGGGATCGTTGATTTTTATTCGTATAAAATCTGATTTAACAATATCTAATGTGTGTCGTGCTTCAGGAACATGCGCGGCAATTCTTACTTCTTTTTTCACTCTTCTCCTTTCTAAGCGATGGCAAGGAACGGCGACCGTAGCTTATTCGCGTAGCCATCTCGGTAACTGACTTTCTTCTCGCGATTATTACGTCGAACGAGGGCGAGTGATTTCCGCCGAACGTCGTCTTATCGGAAGCTCTAATTACAAAACAAGGGTTTCTCCGGTTGATCCGTTTTGCCGTCCGAACACGTCTAACGAGTTGTACTACAATCATACGTCTAGCGAAATAAATACTCCAGTCTTTCATTGTAAGGAAGGGAAATGACAGATCTTGCGCGGACTTTGGCCCCCGCCCTGCAAATTTCTTTCCTCTCTTTTTTTTTTTCCTTTTCTCTCTTATTCGACTCCTGGCTAAAATATGACTTCTCGAAGTAAAACACATCGTATCTTCATTTCGTCTCCTCTTAAATAACACCGAGGTTTACGCCGCTTTGGTTGGTTATGACTTATTCTGAAAAATCGATGAGTCAGTGAAACGAGAAAGAGAAATTTTCCAATAAGTGGTGTTCAGCTTTTTAAGAAAGAAATTGTCCGCGTCCAAAAAAAGATCACTTCGCGCGTGTGGAGTTGAAATAAATATTCCACCTTTTTCTCACCGAAATATACAAAAGTGTACTTTCGTGTTGTGAATCACTCGACGCTTCTAGATTTTTTCGATCTTCACTTTTTTTTTCAGGAAATTATCCGCCGCAGGAAAAATCGAAACCTCAGACGAATAGTAGCTCGATCTCCGCGTATAACGTCTTTCGGGACAGAGATGCGAAATTCAGGGCTCGCGAAGTGACCGAGCTAAGTTTCGTGCTCGCAGGTACGCACGCTTATAATCGTCATTTCGCTTGAAGCTCCGCGGCCTGCTCTTCTTCCTCCTTAGTAAGCGGCACTGTTGAGTGATTGTAGAGCCCCTGCGCCATCAGCTGAAGCGCCAGCGGATTTTTCTGACCGCTGGCCTTCTTGATTTTCGCCCTCTTGTTCTGGAACCAGATCTTGATCTGCGCCTCGTTCAGGCCGAGATCCCTCGAGAGCTGCTGCCGCCGTCGCTCCGTCAGGTATCGGTTTTCCGCGAACTCCCTCTTGAGTCTCGCAAGTTGTTCACCGCTGAACGCCGTTCGAGGACGTTTCTCCTCGGGGGTACCGCCGCCGCGTCCGTCGCCCGTTCTTTTCACTCTTCTCGTGCGTGGACCTGGAACACGGGACGGTCCTACCGTTAACTCATATCTGTCAATAGACTTGCCGAGGGACGTCCAAACGCATCCGCGACGCGACGTTATAGATATCGCGCTGAAATAAAATAAAATTAAAGGTCCTTGCTCGATCGTGCAACTCCGCGAAAATGGACTTTTTAATTTCTGTTCTCTCTGAAAAAATTAAATAAATAATTTAAAGATATCTAATTGAGAATTCGGCAAAAAAGTCAAGAATCGCATATACGTTCATTGAGATCAGACTGTAGATCTTATTAAGATGTTTCCTACTCTTTCGCAAAGCCGACGTTTCGCACGTTTCCGACGTGACCTTTCCGGCAAAAATTATCGGCTAAAAATCGCGCGAGCGGAGAGTCACTCTTTCGCACAATACTTCGCGCAAGACCGCGGCGTGTCCCTTCGACCAGGCATTGATTCAGCGAGTTTACACGCCGATAAATCTGAGAAATTAACGAACCGCCGGCCCGGCGAGTTTTACGGCAACTTTTATTGTCTGCGTTGTCTCGAGTATACGTTCTTTCTCTCTTTCTCTCTCTTTACGCGTAGGTATTCGTCTATTTCGCCGGCTCTAAGTCTGGTTATACGCGAGTGTCTTCTTCTATAACAAGCCGCGTTACTTGGGAGGAGCCGAGGTCGAAGAGTTCGTTGATGGTATAAACGTCCGACTGGGAAGGATCATCCAGCCGCAGAAGTAAATCCTTCCGTCTCGATTCTATCCGCTTTATCGCGCGGCGGACGCGTTCGCTCGCCCGTTCGCGGAGTACCGTCGCGACGCGCGCCGGACGGAGTTGTGTACAGCAACGCAACCGCTTTACCGTAAATCAAACGCATTATTATCGCCACCGCGTTGCGTATCTCACGCGCGTTTCAATCGCCGCGGCGTGCTCGTTCGCGGATACGTTTCCGCGCTTCGCCGGTATATCGTCACTCGTCGACGTTAATCGACTCGCTCGCAGAATCCCGATGACAAATCACCGGAATTAATTGAAGATTGAAACGTATAATCGTCGGCGGACATCTGCGCATAGAATACGTATCGCGGTAAACTGAAGGTAGTTGTAGCACAAAACGATTTTTTTAAGAATTCGTGAAATTTGCACCAAATATAGATTTAAATGACCTAATTATTGTCGTAATTAGAAAACGATTGACTATTAGGAAGATGAGATATTCACAATTAAAGATGACACTTTTTACGTATTCCTTGACGTTAATGTTCTATTTTTAACTTCTATTTTTCATTCTCGCAGATCGGCTTTCCGCGCGCGTTTTATCTCACGTGCGGAAGATAAAAGAAAACGCGTCGCAAGTAAGGGTCGCCCGCAAAACGCTGTTGTTTCTAGACGCGGCTCACTTTTCCCTGTGCGATCGCTCTCCTCTCTTTATCTCGCTCTTTCTCGTGTGATATTCTCGCACGATAATAATTCACGAGGTAAATACCGTGCGCCGCCCCGCACCGTTTATATACGCAGCGCCGGCGAGACTATAATTGCGTATAAATCAAATCATAACGATCAACAGCAGCGTTATCGGCCGAACCGATCTGCTGAATATTCTGTGGAAATTTCGAGACCGTCTCGCGATCATCGCGCGGCTTGCGCCATATACGCGTCGTCCGGTCTTCTCCGTGCCAGAAATCACGTGCCGCCTCGCGCGGAAAAAGCGCATAAATTGGCGGCTTTTTGCACGCGCGCGCGGCGCGTTGACTCACGGATGATACTCTCGGCTTTACGTGAGATAACTTTGTGACGATCGATTGTGCCATGTGGATTTTCGTGAAATTAAAGTATTTGTAGCATAAAATAAGTTTTTTTTTTTAAGAATTTGTTGAAATTTGCACTGCGTATAAATTTAAATATAATTTAATTATTAGCGTACATTATCGGAAGTTGAGATATTCGTAAATAAAGATGCCACTTTTTATACATATTCCTTGAAGTTAAAATGTCCTACTTTTAACTTTTATTTCTAATTTCTACTAAAACACATTTAGGGTTTTTATGAAAAATTATCGGGATGTTAAAGGTTAAGTATACAGAAATTTCAAAATTATTAATTACTTTGTTTTGAAAATACAGTGGTGTAATTTAAACATTTACATACCTTTTTTCATTATCTGTGTATTTCTATTAGCTCAACTAACGCGTAAAAATAATATTGATAAGAAAAATAAAAAGTAATAATATTTTTGTATTTGTATTATTGTATATATATATGTCTAACTTATCTTCGTTTCAAATTAACATTTATTACTTAGGTAGTGATAGAAATGTATAGGAATATATGATTTTGCTTGTTGATAAATGCTATTTTATGAATAGCCTCCTTGATGTGCCACTGAAAATACGATATTCTACGATACAACTACCTTAACGAAATTAAATGTGGAAAATAGATGAATAAATCCAGTAAATAAACATAAGGCAATCTCGAGAATAGTTTCACGCGGCGAATTCGAGTTTCAGGAAAATCGTTTCGCTGTCGTAAAGAACGTTGCAAACGGTAAAACTACCTGATCGTGGTCCGTTTGTCTGTGAACTAGGCTTCAACGGTCGGCCGAAAGAGAGAAAGAGAGAGAGAGATCGGAAATTACAGGCTTGTCGAGTGTAGATTGCATCGCAAATGATAATTATCGAACGTTACCGCGCGGTAGAGTAAATTACTGTCGACAACGAGGGTCGTCCAGTACGTATGAATTTCACGGTGAAAACCGTTTTACAACGCGTGATCATTCGAAGCTGAGGATCCTACGGATACGTTACGCATACGAGCTTTAAATAATATTATTGGAAAAGCAGTTTGTTCCGCGATCAAGCATCGACGCTCGTCGAGGCTCGAGTTGTTAGTTTCCCGTTTCCGATTGGCCGCCGCGATGCGATCGATTTCTACACGCCGCCTGTAGCCATGAAAATCCCCGAAGAAATTCATCTTCGTCGAAGTCATTGGCGTCTGTAAAGTGTCTTCGCCGAGACTGCGAGTGCTTACGACACGCTATTTTTACGTTGCGCTGAGAACGTGTCGAATGCTGCTTAAAAGCGAAACATTAAGTAGGATATAAATAGCGGCTAGAATTATATTTGTATTTGTCTAATAGTTATTTCCTGAGATTTTATCTCATAATTAGAGAGATCGGAAAGTCGAAACAAACTGCTGCAAAAAATATCTTCCTCGAATAAGAATTAAATTTTCGTAAAAGAGAGCAGAATTGTCTTCACGGTTACGAAGAATCGTGTGAAAGTAAGAAAACCAAAAATAACTTTCCCAGACATTTCCATCGAGTAAAAGTCGACAAAGTTCGCAATATATCGCGATATTGGCCAGCTCCGTTAGCGCGCGCGAGTAGCATCCTCGGCAGTTTTCCTCTCCTCGGGGAAGTGACTGAGGTAACGAACAGTCGGCAGTCTAATTACTTAAGCGAAGCGGTCTTGCAGTCAAGCGTAGGAAACGCGTAGCGAGGGAGAAAGAGAGATAGAGATAGATACAGAGCGAGGGAGAGAGAGAGAGAGAAAGCAGCTTCTCCAGACTCTCTTCTCATTCTCACCCTTCCCCTTACTTACGGTAATCCCTCTCCAAAGGTTCGAGGGTAAAACCAATAATGCTAAGATGCTCTCTCAAGTACAACCCCCAAAAGTACTTCGAATACCGGCGACCTGCGGCCTCGGCGGAGAAACACTAATTTCCCTCCTCGTCTCCTATTCCTGAGATAGACGTCAGCTTGTACTTCGGTCTGTCAGTTTAATTGCATTCTTTTTTTTCTTCGTTGCACGCGCACGACCGCGAAATGACATTTACATTGCTAATCGGCTCGCGATCGTTACACTGGAAGCGCATCGAGAGCGACTCGGGCGAGAACGCGAACGTAACGTTGATTATTCATTTACATATGAATGCTCTCGTTGTACGGTGTAAACACGCGACTTTAGACCTCCGCGTATTGAGACTGGCAAAAAAGCGTGTCGTTAAAATTATCGACCGATGTCATTCTAACGTACAAAGTTGTAAAGTGACTTTCGTATGTGTACGTATCTATCTATCTTTTTTTATCGGCGATCGACTGCGGAAATATTGATTTTCTCGCACGAGATAAATATGTTTAGCTACCGGTCTTGGAAGTTCCTCCCCTTTCGGTGGCTTTCGTGCAATAAATCGGCGGCGCCGCCGCCGATCTCGCGATCGCCCTTTTCGAGTCTGCTGCTGTTCGGCTCGCTCGTCACGTTGCTTTTAATTACGCCCGCATCGACACAGAAACGAGAAGGCGGCGCGATGGGGAGAATAAGAAGAGGCGGTTAATGCGTAGAATTCGTTAAAAATGATCTGTAAATTAGCGGAATTCCGCGCCGAGCAAATGGCCGACGATCGTGCTCGGAAAGCGAATTGCGTCGGATCCATTTACACGCGTAATATCTGTCCGGTTCGAAAAAATGTTATCTTGGCCGACATGCACTTTACGTAACGCGTGATACAAGTGTAATAAACAAGTGTAATAAAGTGTAATAAAACGGTTTCATGAGTCTTTCACATCTGGTTATCCTTCGGGAAAGAAACTCGCAGGGATTGATTATATATTCGGGTGAAAAAGTGGGAAACTAAAGCTTTATAGGATTCCTAAGTATTCGGGTATCTGTTTATCTGGATATCTGAAATCGGTTTCGATCCGACTATTTAAGTCTGCACTGAGAAAAATATCCGATCATATATATCTGATTGGATAATCTAATTAAAATGTAACAAACGGATATATCCAATCAAGTAGAATATATCCGATAATGTCGTGCCTTTATCCGATGAAAATTACAACGGATATACAAAGGGCGATTAATTTATCGATTAGGTTTCATTGGTAACTACATCAGTAACTTCATCGGGTAAAGATATCCATTATTTGATCGAACAATAAAAATAACAATCGGATACATCATTTAGTTGGTTTATTCGATGGAAAATTTTCTCAGTATAAGTTAAAAGGGTTAACATCTTTTCACGTAAGATTGTTAAA